TATGTTCAATCAATTTCGGTATGACTGCTTCTTTTCTTTATTTTTCTGTTATTTCGGAACTAAAATGTTTGGCAATTTTTAAGTAAAATTATACAGAAATCTTATCTTTGACCACCTTTATCTAAAAGTATGTCGACTTTGTGAAAAATTCAATCTAAAAAATATCTTTTATTCTTAACTACTCAAACAAACGATCTATTATAATTAGGTAATTAAATAAATTATTCAAATAAATAAATAACTAAGTAAATTCTAATTCTAAGCTAAGCCTAATTACTGTTTATTTCTCATTCCATATACTTTTTTTTTTTTTAATTTAATTCCATAAAGCTAGAATTTTATTACAAAAAAAATCCTTAGAACTTATATTTAAAAAACTTTTTTTAACTAAAAAGTTTCATTGAAACTATTAAAATGGAACTTTATAAAAAAAAAATTCCATAAAATTTTCAAGCCCTGGGGAAGATACTTTTTTCTTACGAAATTTTTTCGGAACATTTATATTTTTTTCTCATCTATTTGTTCTTCTGTAATATTTTGATATATGTTAAATTTCTTTGCCTGCTTGTCACGAAAAATGCGGTTGCTTTTGATTTCCACGAGTCTCCGGTAGTTTTAACTTGGAAAAGATTTAAAACAGCATGAAACTATTATTCGCATCATTATTATAAAAGGAAATTTGAAATTATATTATTCAAAACCTTAAAGATCTTTTTATCAACGTCTGCAATCTCGAGACAAAAATTTGGGCTTACATTAAAAACATTGATGTACTCGACTTTTATGTAGGATTTAGAAAACTTGCTTTTTAAATATTTAAACTTAAAATAAAGCTCGGGTTCCCAGGCAAACCTCAAGTCTCTGGGTATCATTTCCAGGCAGAAAAATACCAACAAGTCGGTATTTTCAATCTTCGAAAATTTAAATTCTTAGGAGAAAAATTTATTTTTTTAAAATAAACTTTTCATAATCTTCTGTGAAGATTTATAATTAAAAAATAACAGTACTTTAAACAAGAGAACTAAAACCCGGAAGTCGAAAAAGTCATAAACTTTTTAAAATAAGTTTGACTTTATAAGTACTTAGCATGCTTATTAAGGAAAAGTTCGCGCAATAAAAGTTATTCTTATATGTTTATGGTAAAATTATACTTTAAAAAGTACAAGGTTCACCTAAACTTTTTGAGCAACTAAAATAAATGTGTGATTTTAACAACTTTTTTATTCTTGGTTGGGATTCTAAATATTATTATAATAGAAAATATGTTAGTGGATGATTATTTTGATATGATGTCAATAATTAATTTTCAATTATCGCATTTTTGAAATAACTTTTTTTGTCCTAAAAACTTTTTATAAATAAGTTGCAGAATAACTGTTTGTAGTGAACTTTTATTAAAAATGTTATATTTAAAATAAATTTTTAAAAAAGTTTAAGTTCAATTAAAACTTCATGGAAGAAAAATAAAGTGTAAGTTTAATACAAACTTTTTAAAATAAACCTTAACACATATTTTCGACCCCTGCTTAAATCTAGTTTGTTAATAAAAAATAATATAATAATCATTAATTGGAAAGTTTGTTTTCGTAAAAGTTGTAGTAATCTGTAGGTATAGTTTTTATTTTGATGTTTTAATGATAATCGCCTTTTATATGAAGGCAAGAGAACTCTTTTATTTTTTGTATCATTTTGTATACGTTTGCAACCTATTAGATGAACATAAAATCTATATCCAAATATTGAACGCAACAGGGAGAAAAAAAAAATGTCTTTGCAATCCGGGTCGAACTTACGGGGAATGCAGGAGTAAGAGGCCTAAAAATTAAGGAATGAGCTATGTCAAGGTGTTCAACATTTCATGGATTAGGATTCGGCACAGGCCATATTGATCTTTCTTTGTGCAAAATTAAGAAACGTTTCTCTCATGGTTCTCTTTAAATAAATTAGTAAAATTTACGATCTAGAGATTCGTTTCAATTATATAGTAACGAGGTTTCGCCCTTCCAACAGGAGTCACAAATTTGGGAGTTGCGGATTTAAGAAATCCCCACTTAAGTAATAAAATTATTAAATTTCTAAAACCATTCTTTTCAATCATTAAGTGGTAAAAAAAACTTTAAAAAATGGATTTACGAGATTTTATAATCGATGTGACCATATATAATTAGTAATACAAATGATTTTCATAGAGTTCAAGACCGCCTAGGACACAATATCACGACGCGAACCATACCATGCTATGAAAAAAATGAACATGACAGCCAAACTAGCAAGACTTATAATGTGCGCAATTTAGAACACTGTATGCAGTATGATGTTAAAAGCAACAATGACTGAAAAATTAAATGTTTGGGGAGGCCTAAGATAAGGACCACTGGCAGTTCTACTTTACAATAAAGCTATGCTTAGCGTCATTAACAAGCGGGATTTCAGATAGTAGGAACCATTTTCAGTGTAATCTAGAAATCCTTGCTTGATAGTCTGGAAAGCACGTAAACACGCAAGGAAAGCGTTTGACAGAATCAAGATGGTGGTGATAAGGGAACTTGCAGACCACAACAAAGTTATGTATTTCAAGGACGGGATAGCCAAGTGGGTCAACGCGTGTGCAAAACACGCGTTGTCGACAGCCCGATGAGAAGATCACGAGTTAGAGGTTCGGTAACAAGGACTTTTGACCCTGAAAATAATACTCTGCTCTGTCTGCAGTTTCTGATATCTAGACATTCGTATAGAAGAGAATCTAAATGAGAAGGAGCAAATCACTGCGATAATCGTACCAGCTAATAAAGGATATATTGCAATTTCTAAGCTCCTGAGAAGACGGCTTCTCAGTCAAAAATCTAAGCTGAGGATAAATAAATCACTATCCAGACAGGCGGCGACCTATGCATGTCTGAAATTCCGGGACATAGTTAATCCTTCACAAACCTCTGCGAACCTTCTTCAAACTTCAAACTTCTGTGAACCCTTCCCTCATTAGTTTTTCTAGTTCCAACTGACAATTTAAATTCATACTTAATATCTACCCTCTCTTATCTAATATTTCTCCCTCCAGAATGCCGTTTTTCCTTAATCTTGGAAAAAAACCATTGTCCATCCTTTAAATAAAAACTTTAATCCTTCTTCTTCTGAAGATTTGTGCCCAATCTCTATCCTTTGCAATCTACCGAAACTCCTAGAAAGACTATGAATATGAAACACCCATGCAAAGAAATTCAAGTGCAGAAAAATTGAACCGGTTTGAAAGCAAGTGTTTAAAGCGAATTTATAGCCCGCGGTTCCAGGAAATGGCGCACTACGTATGAGGAAAAACAAAGCATGATATGCCGATATAAAGATTCATCTGAGTGCAACAGGAAAGTGTGGCATCTTTACAGATTGAACGAATAGAGGACAGTTAACATTCTTTATAAGGGAAAGCTAGAAGGATAGCACCTTCTACGTTGTGTCTTCATCACACGAGCTGAGGACCGAGAAGATCGGGACAAGCGTTTGTGCCACTGCTTCATATGTCTGTAGAACCAATGATGTAATACACGTTAATTCTCCTTAAAATCAATTTTCTTTGTCATCGGTTTTGTTTTTTAAAATTTGGCTCAACGATTTTTAATTTAATTTTTTACGGCTTTATACCACAACAATTAAAATCATCTTATTTGAATTTTTCACAAATGGTGCCATATCAAAAAAGCAAGTTTTAGTGAAGATAAGGATGATGGAAAAATTGTCCCGAAACGTTAGAGATAATAAATGTGATTAAAGGGATTAGAAGGAAATTGGAAGTATTGTTGCCTTAACTATGAAAAAATTAAAATCATTTTTGCAAAAGTATAAACTTTTTGTTGACAAATATAAGCATGTTACACAAAACATAATTTACTTAAGAACTTGTCTATCTACCGATTTCAAATTCCCTACACCATACCCCACATTTACAAATACATGTCAATACCCACCTTCTTAGATTTATTTTATAATTTAACCAATACTTAAACCAATGCATACAACAGTCACTGTAATATTTTTAGGTATAATGGCCTTTTCTTTTCTCATCTATTTGCACTTTTTCGGCAACAGTTACTTTTACAACCCCTTGGTCCTTTCCTATCTGTCCGTTTCTAGATCCTCATTTTTACCTTACTGACACCAGACTGTCAGTCGCTGTATATACCTACTAACTACTACCCTTAATATACTCCAGATATCCTAATAATCCATTATTTTTACCAGCTGAACTGAAGGTCAATAGTAATTTACATTTACTCCAACATTCTATAATTAATATATGTTGTTTATATATTATTAAATAACTAATATATATTGTTTGGATCTTATATAGCCCTGAAGAAGACCTACAAAGTAGTTGGAAATGTTGGACAATGCAAAAATATTATATAATATAGTGTTTTTTGACCGCACCTTTGGCTTCTGAAATTAGAATATACAGTCAACCTTCTCTATACCACTATCTACCTATCTATATATATATATAAGCTGGAGTAGCCTTGCGGGCTAAGGAGCTTGCAATAGGTAATCAATGTTAAGCAACGCCGAGCGTGGTAGCACTTGGATTGGTGACCGTTCACCAAGGAAAGCCACGCTGTCCGAGATTCCTTCCCCCTCCCATCGGGTATGTGAGTCTCGTCAGTCAACTGGGGACAACTTACACCGACCGGGCGTAGGATTGATGACCCTACCCCGTACTTTAAATCGGGAATCGAGATGTTGTCTAGGATACTACACTCGCGGTCAATGATCTTCATGGCCTGTAGCGCCAACAGAAAAAAAAAAAAAAAAATATATATATATATATATACATAGAGAAGTGCATATATATAAATATATATATACTTCTCCTTCAATTATTTTCAAATTAATCATCTATTTTAGAAAATTAATTACGATTTAAACCGAATAATGTATAGATAGACGAGATCATTATTATTATTTCTGATGCAGATATATCACACAATATGGATACACGGCCGGCTACTCACCGAGGTGAGACATGAGTGATTCCAAGTCATCCTGTTTCTCCGACATCCCGTGCTCCTGTGCCTGCTGATACAGCCCCGTCCTCACCACTTGTAAGAACAATGGGCCATTTTATCTTGTGTTTATATTGGACCACCTCTTCCACATATCTTAAGATAATCTAACATTTTTCAATGTTAAATACACATTCCGCTAACAAACATATTCGTGTGTTTATTGTGTTCCATTATTGTCTTTAACTGCTTGGCGTTATCAAAATCCTGGGATTTCGCAAATCATAATTGTTATAGCTTCATTTTTTTCTTTACATAGTAATTAATTTCATTTATATACTTTTTAAATAAAAATAAAATGATCAGTTAACGATTTATTGTTAAATTTTATATTTTTGATACATCGATATTATCAGAATTGATACGTCTGATGTGTTTATTGTTGGTATTACACAGGAAAACTGTGTACATTACATTACATTACAATAATAAATGCGTTACTGAAAATTCGGTAAAACCATGAAACATGGAAATAATGTATTCTGTGCTTTGACTAAAACCATTTAAAAATGGAGAATGGAGTAGTACTTCATGTATGGTATTCTGACTTTCGTTCCTTATTAATATTTCTCAAGTCCCATACTTGAGAAATATTAACTGTTCGATACGTTCAATTTTGGGAAGAAAAGAAAATCAAGTATTGAGTTAAGACTAACCATTTTCAGACAAGGTAAGGTACATGTCGGGACTGGGGTAGTTCAGTGGTAGGTTTCTGAGCTTCCAATGCTAAAGGTCCCAGGTTCGATTCCCGACTAATGGCAGAAAAAATATTTATTCTGTTTCATTGTCCCGAGAGGTGACCATGGGTAGGTAGACCCTCCTGGGGTACACACAACCTCTATAAAGCGGGGACCTTTAATTAAAATAATTAATTGAGGGGAAAAACCTGGCGGTTGAGCGTGATCTCGGTCAAATCACATCCTTGCACAACCGTATACCAAGAAACAGTGCTTGGTAATGCCCTAAATATACTGAACCAAAGACCCTTCACGGGTTGTAGTGGTACAGGCTTTTTTTTTTAAGATGCATGTCAGTTTGTCTATCTCAGTCCAAAAGTAAACTCTGATAATGAAATAAAAGCAGAGATCCTTCACAAAATTATATTCGCAAATAAATGTTATTTCGAATTACTAAAGCATTTGAGGAGCAGGCTATTTCTCGAACCCACAAAAGCACAATTATACAACCCCCTGATAAGACAAGTACTTAGTTAAGTATGCTTCTGAATGTTGGACATAACCATTACTAAGTATACAGAAGGTCCTTCTCCAAAGGTTCAAGAGGAGAGTATTTAGGAGAGTTTACGGTCCTGTTTGTGCTAATGGAGCCTAGAGAATAAGGAGAAATACCGAGTTAACAACACATCGTAGGATGGTCCTTTTTAAAAGGATTTATGAGATGATATGAGTGGGAAGGCCTCAGATCCGATATATATATGAAGTGGATGTGGATGCGAGTTCCATCTTAGAAATCCACAACTGAAGAGCGGACACTACTATTAGAGACTGACCGATCTATCTGCAGGATGCCTTGACTCTGAAGGACTTGTAACATCATTGATGATGATGGTAAGGTACTACAGAAGGACAAACGGAAAACCATGCACTACATAGATCAAATACATTTATAAATTCGACTTATCAGATAATTGGGAGAAATTGACAGAACTTAAATGTTGTGTAATTTGTTTAAGATAGCATGAGCTGAAACATGAATTGCATTCTTAAGGTTCTAACCAGAATATAAACAAATTAAAAGTATATATTAAGTCTGACACAATTCATGTTACTAAATATGGACAAGACATTTTGAGGTTTGAAAACAAATGATCCCTTTATGGATGATAATTTATTAAATTTAATTTCTTTCATGTACAGGGTGTCATCCTTTCGTAATTGTTTTGTTTATTTTTTTAATGTAGAATGTATTTACCAACCTGTCGCGGTAAATTAATTTTTTTTAGAATTTCGTTGGTTACAGTTGTTACTAGTATTTTTAACTTATAATAAATTTTTAATTTATTCTACGGTTGAAGGACATAGATACCACTTGTAAGACAAAAAGTACAAACATATTATCACATTCATTATCATTGCCTTATTTTCGACTGTAAATTCTGTTAGCTAATCTTCTGTGAGGAGATAAGTGGCCGCTTAACGAGAAGGATTTTTTCAAAAAGTACTTTAAGGAGATGAAGAAATTTATCCTAGAATAGCCTTCAATACTTCATTGAAGATGAAAAATGTGAGATATTGGAATTGTATTGGTTTGCCGAACCACTTAAGTTTCCAGGAGTTCTCTCCCCCCCAGGTCGATAGTGCCTGAATTCCACCTCCCCTCTCCACTCCAAGAAATGTTATTGCTCTAGTTTTTTTAAAAATTACAAGGGAAAGTAAAATTAGAAAAATCGTAGATTATATATGTTTATACTTACTGCGGTATGGTCCATGTTTTATCCTAGTTCTCTGGTTTGAAACTTATCGTTCCCAATCGAATACCTCCATCGAAATGTGTCCCCCTCAAATATCGAAATGTAGTCAAAATGTGCCCCCTCGGAAATTTTGATCACGTAACCTGCACCATGAAACCCCATCCCCTGTTACTTTCTATCAAGTAATTTATTTATTTTTTTCTTAAATGATTGTTCCTTTAGTTTTACTTAGTGCTGCCCAAATGAGTGACCGAAATGAGTCTTGCAAATTCATTCTTGGTCATGGTCATGGTCTTGCGCAAGATTCTCGCAGTTATATATTAGCTTATTACTATTGGAGATATTACTGTAATATTTTAGACTAGTATGCCCGTGCGAAAAATTCGCACAGCATATTGCTATCAAATGCCAAATTAATAGGAAAATAAGAAACTGCAACTTATCGAAAGATTAAGACATCAAATGTTACTTTATCGATAAATATAATCCACAAAGCAAACAAAAATTAATCTTCATTTTCGTTTGGAACTAACATGTATACAAATTTCAGTAAGCTGTATATTTGTTAAAAATAGTCTGATTTCGATGGTTTTTTTTCCTTTTGTAGGGAATTTAGTAATCTTTTATATGATTATGGAATAACCGAGGGAAAAGTGTGTAATTTTTCAGTTATTCGCAAATAAAGTTTATTTTCTTTCATAGCTTGTTTGCCTGAATTTTCTGGGTGATTGGACTATTTTGCCAGCCTGAAGGAGAAGGAAGCCTTCGAAATTGGTGGCTCAATCTTGAGATTTGGTGAAAAATTAACGATGATATGGCTTGCCGATCAAAAACACCATCGATGAATAATATAAACTCCCCCTCTCTCGATCATAGAGACCTCAAGTCGACGAAATGAGACATGTATTCAATGACAGTACTACAATTAATGTAAGGTTGTGTGGATGCGAACACTATGCCTTGCGTTATCTCGAAAATAGTACGTTTTGCGGCTTAAAAACGCAGGATCCCATAGTTCCGGGGGAACTATTCGGGTCTTGCTGTACACATCAAAATCTTTAAGATCCAATTTGTCCCGTATCGATCTACAGACCTACCACCGTTCCAGTATCGAAGCCTAGCAAAATGTTTGTATCGACTTTATTTATTTTAGAAAGAAAAACAAAAGTGAAGAATACGATTCGCTAACCCCCCGTGAAATTCTGAATCCAACGGTACCCCATTCATGGTATTTGAGCATGACAGGAGCTTATATTTGGTACAAAACCGATTTCGAGCCTTGCTGTAATAATATATGTACGGATAGGAGAAATCTAACTAAGCGCGAATTAAAAATTAGAGGAGTTAAATGCCAAAGTATATTGGTTATACCAATTCTTTACATAAAGTAACTAAGATTGTCAAGTATTAGTAACTATTTTGCCTTAATTTTTATTTAAAAAATTGATTTTTTTTAACAGTCCTGGTCTTGGTCTTGCAACAGTTAGACGGCCTTGGTCTTGGTCTTGCACCAAGACCGATTTTGGGCAACACTAGTTTTACTAAACAAATTTTGATACTATTTACTCAATCAGATACAGCAATATACAGTCCAAATAAATAAAGAAATAACTATTATTTTTCGCAACAATAATAAAAAACTATTTTTTAAAACATTTAAAAAAAAATGCATTTCTGGTATTAACACAGTAGATTTAAACAACGGCAACATAAACTAAAAATGCCAGGGGCTTACTGCCAACGAGGACTAAACACCCAGTGACAGCCATCAGGACATGAATTATATATCTACGACCAATTATAACTTCGATGTAACGGACTTGCAGAAACCTTGCAACTGTTTAACTGTCATTTCGAAAGATAAAGCTGACCAGACATTTTGTTCTGTTGTATCGTACACTTTTCAAACTAAAACGAAATTTATTTAAATTAGCATCTATATATAAAAGGATTCTAAACCGAAAACTAATCTTTAAACTCGGATACGAACAATTGATTCGTTTTACAAGAGCCAAATACCGCAACCTTCAGGCGATCAACTTGCCGGAATGGTTTATTGCACATGCTGCAGCAAACATCGGTATGTGAAAGTTCAGTAGCACCTGCCAAGTCATTACTCCGAGGCACATGTGAGAAACTGCGGCCAAATGTATCTGTTTTTATTTATTTGCATTTGATGATTAAAATACATTCTAAAAATACGCATTGAATAAATTTACTCTTATTCTAAAAACATATTCACCTTTAATTATGTTCCACTTATCTTTATTAATCATATCCACTAACGAGAACTTCAATTGAGCAAGAAACTGCTCGTGGAATCCACCTGCTCCAACATTTATTATACTGTTAAATGTGCATTTCATCCTTTCCACATAACATCTATATATAAAAAAAAACAACAAAAAAAACTATATCACTAACAAGCCATGAAGGGTTTTCGGTTCAGTACAATGTAAGTACTGTTACTAGGACAACGGTTATGCAGTGAAGTGATTGGACCGAGATCACGCTCAACCTCCAGGTTTTTCCCCATGATTAATTATTTAATTAAGAGTACCCACTTTATAGAGGCTCGGTGTGCCCCAGGAGGGTCTCCTCGCTCCAAGGTCGATCCAC